GCTAATCTGTTTATACAAATAACTTTGCAACTGTCTCGGTTTAGGAAAGGGTAAATTTCTAATTCAGTGAAGAAGCTTATAGATTTTACCTTTTGATTGCCTTGCAAAAAAAGATTTTTAATCCTTTGTTAGTCTTGTTAAATAAACGAAGAGCACTCAAAAGTATCGTTCATTATCCTTTCCTTTCTTGAAGCATATATGAAAACGTGAAGCTCAGAAGTAACTGTTAAGTTGAAAAAATGTATGACCGTAGCAAACTGAAACTGACTTTTCTAATCTAAAAAAATTTACACACTCTACCTATGCTGCTAAAATTCTTCAATTTGGTGAAGCGAAATCTTACTCTCAGCCGTTGAAACATAGGATGTAAACTGTTGGTAGTGTTTACAACGTGGCCGATAGCCAAGATTGTATTTTTTTATAGGTTTTCTCAATCATCTATTCTATTTTAGTTTCTATGTAAAATTTATCAATTTTATTTCGAGTCTTTTTTAATTATTATGGTCTTTGAGCTTTTGTTTTCTTAGCAGCTATATAACAATACCGTAAACAATTAGAGCTTTATCTTTTAGTGTAAAGTCTTTGAATCAAATTTTACTCTCAAGCTATTTTACCTATTCCTTTTGAAGAAAAATAAATTTGCAGCGATCTTTGCAATCTTATAACGAAGATGTTACGTGAAACGCATCAATTGTTGCCTTTAGAAAATCGCTCAGTCAAAATAACTTGTAAAATTTTGGAAACAAACTAAATTAGTTAGAGTTTTTTTCGAAATTATAATTTGCAAAAGCATAAAAATGTTGAATAAATTGATTTGATCAAGCTTTTCTCATCTGTAAATCACTAAAATGTCTTAAACTCTAATATTGTTTATCTTTTTAGAAACACTGTCTTCAGAAATAATCAATTTTTTTCTAAAAATTTTTAAATAATTCAGAAGTTTGTACAGAAAAGCAGAATCGAATTTTTTTTTCTTTTGCAATCTTAGTTAGTTTTTGTCATTTTCTGCGATGAAAGGTAAGCAACAATAAGCTTTTTTTTCAATAAATTTTTCTTAACCTATCACATTAATTTGTCTCGTTATAAACTTTTGTAAACTTAGGGCTATACGACATTTGGTCGGGAACCGTTTGTCATGACATACTTCATTCGTGTGTTTGCGACTTGTTGAAGCCTCATTGCTACAGTGAAAACCTTGTCATCACACTTAGATTCTTTTGCGCCAATACTTGCGGATACTGCAGTGAGCAATCTAATTTTTCTTTTATTTCTTCATTTATATTACGCTTCATATTACAGCATATATTTAACAAGATAAGCTCAAAAAATCTGAAAAACTTTTTTTTTTTTTAATCTGATATTAGTGAAATGTGAAAATGTTCAATGTTTTTCAACACTAATCATTTACTTCTGCTTTTCTGAATTTTATGAAACATTTTTTTGATAAATTATGATTAGATAAGATACGTATTATCACTGAATTGTTATATTTAAATTAAGTCTTGAGTTTTACAATTGTTATATCTTTCTAAGAGTTATCCAAAACACATTTGATTACAAAAATTTCATTAATGTGTAGGTCAGTTTCATTTGCTAATTTTGGAACTTGCGTCAAATGCTCATCTTTCTTTTTATGTAAAAAAATGATAATTAACAGCAATTTTCTTTGGTAAAAACTGACTTATTTTTATATCTCAGTTTATAACTGACTGTTTGGGGAATGTGGGACAGTAAATTTGATAGTTTTAAGAAACGATGAGTGTGGCTAAGCTTCTTCTTATTCCTGGCATTGTTAAGGACTATATTTCTGAGTTGGTAGCTTATTGAAATAAATTCACTCTTACCAAAAAATTTTTTGGACTATATAAAACTAAGCCAAAACTGGTAAAAAGCTACAATTTTTTACTTATTAAATTATATTTTTAGTGCGTTTGGTTCTTCAAAACATTATATTTTGGTAAAATATATATTTTAGCTGAATCGCCACTGTTGAGTGCGGCTCTTTCAAAAACTACTAAATCGAAGTTGCTTTCGCCTCCAAAGTTATCGTTTATTGACAACAACGAAGTGATTGCAAACATAACTGATTAGAGATCAGAAGCAAAAATGATTGCTGAACCAGAGAACAAATTTACTCGTTTATCGAAACACGGTACACCTGAAAACTCAAAAAACAAAAATAGACATTATTCTAACACAGATAAAACAAGATGTTTAATTATATGTGATTGTATTTTTGTAGATTTAATCCTAGACAATTACAGTGTGAATTGAAAACCAACGAATAAAAATATCAACTTATATGACCCTAAAAATTTCACATATTTTGGTCCTTTAAAACAGAAAATAAAAAGGTGTTTTACTGAGACTGATTGGGATATCTATAGTTAGCTGATGCCTTTTTATTAAGAAAAAGCCAAATAAGGTTTGGGGAATAATGGCGTAAAAAAAACAACTTTTTTAATAAGTTAATGAAATACCTGCGATTAACAATTTGATATTACATTGATGTGAAGTTAATCAGTTTTTACGAATCTAAAACTGAAGAGATGTAACCAAAAATTGCTACTTTTTTTTCAAAATAAAAACAACAAAAGAAGGAACGTAATTTAGTAGCTATTAATTTTATTTTTTTAATTTGTTGTAACTGCAGCTTTCAGTTTCATCAAAAAAAGCAAAAGTTTATTACTCTATCAGTTTTTAACATAACGATATTTTTAAAATTGCCATTTGATTTAAAACAAATAAGTTGCTAACAAACTAACAAAGAAAGTACTGTCTTAAGTTATCACCAACAAACGTGTAGTACTTGTTAAAAGCTGACTGAGACGATTGTGAAGTCGTGTAGACATCTGGAAGTAAAGTCTTCTTTTTTAAAAAAATTAAGCTTCTACAAGAATGTAGTAACAGGTTCTTGAAAATGTAAAATCTGATGATGAGACATAGATGGCAGATGTATTTCCGTTTATCAAACGATAATATAACGATACAACTCAATAATCAAAGTTATTCAGATCTCTTGTCCAAAATGATATTTATCCTGACAACTGAATGATAATTCTATGCCGATTCACCGGGCATACATACTGATCTTCCAGTTTCCGGTTTAACTTTTTGTTCTGTTTGTTTAAAGAGCTCAAGCATTTTTGATGATAAAGCGATGTTTTTACCACTTCAAAAAACAAGAAAGAAGCAAGAACAAATAAAAATTTATCAACATGTTTTTCTTGTTATGACCCAAAATTTTTGTCTTGTTTTCAGGAATACGTTAAACACTATAGATATTTGAAGTTTTGGCATCGAATCGTAGACATTTCAGCGTTTTTATCGATTCATTTTTTTTTTTGTACTTCTCAGATCCGTTGTTTGATACTGTTCAAATAAATAAAAGTTTTTCTCGTGGTCTAAACAATGCTCATAAATCAACTTAATCTACTAATGACTCTACTGTTATACCTGTTAATCGGTGTAATACAGGCTTATGATAGTGGTTGGAATTTTTGCTATTATTTTAATTTTAAATTTAGTAGTTTTTTAAACACAGATATTCAGCGTCCTTTTTTAAATTATACGTTTTGAGCGTAATTTGAATAATTTTTCCAAGACTG